CCGGCTGGTTGAGGGACAGGAAAGAGACACAGGTAAACACAGAAGAACTGGTCCAGGACTGGTCCAGGTGCACCTTCTTCTGGAAGAGACAAAGAAAAAAGCATTATTGATAGAAATAATTACAATAAACATGTAGAGAAGAGAGACTAAAGACAACAGCAGAGGTYTGTAGAAAGTCTGAAAAGATGAAGCAGCTGGACTTCTGTTCTGTAGCTGACGTTCAGAGTTTCAAGCTTTAAATTTCATGTTTTGGTTTTGTTATCAACGCCTGGATCGATGCAGGCACKTCTACCTGAATAATGTTAAAGTCAGACTGAATGAGACATGCCTTGAAAAACATCTAACATTTGATGTATGTGAAAAAGACCTGGGATTTGTCATGTTCAGACTCATARAAACATCTGATATGGGTCACATATGGGCAAAAAAATGGGATTTAGGTCACCTTTGCCTGCAGCTTTTATGTAAACTTGTACTGTAGCACAGGCAGTGTGGTCTACAGCAGCACCAGGTCGCCACAGAGGTCAGTGTTGGTTGGTTGGCAAAGTAGTTCCTGAACCACAGGACAGATTACAAACCCTCTAAGTAGACATTAGCTGTGAACTGGGTTCAAGATGGCCACCTCTAATTGACCTTAGTCATAGTTGGCTGTAACCTAATGCACGTTGCAGATATTGAGCTAAAATTTGGTGTAGTAGTAGCTGAGTTATTCACAACACATACTCTGACATTAAAGGTGATGATCTACATTCAAATAATACTAGGGTTTTCATTTTAATCTTACTAAATGGTTTTCCATAACTTTCATCTTTCTCTGTTTACCTTTTTACAAACATCAATGTTTAGTCGCATCAGTTTCATCAAACTGAAACCTTCCTTCAGAATCAATGTTTTTAAAATTAAATTTACATTGAGTTAAGCTTATAAGAAATGCATCTCAGTGGGTGCAGTTTTTATATAAAAAAACATTTGGCAGCTCCAACTGACGCGGTTTCTCGTTGGTCCATTTGGCTCGTATCTCCATCCTTAAGTGGCTTCTGACATAACAGCTCCATTAACTCTGCCCTCAGCTTGACCACTTTCTGGTAGGGAGGAATAAGATTTWAAAAAACAAACACCACACACAAGTAATTTAAAACATTTTAGCTGCATGTCAGAAAATCAAAATTTAATGACTTGGAAGAAAAAGCAGAAATCCCCTCCGCCRTCAGCGTGGCTTTGTGTTGCAGCAGGCGTGGCGTGACACAAACACTTTCTGCTGTCGTTACGTGAGTCAGTCGTCTGCATGTCACCGAACGAAGCTCRCAGGGTAAATATTCTTCAGCTGGGGTTGAAACACGGTTTTCTCAACAAAGCTTTGAAACGGTCCAACGAGGCATAATTTACAGGATGCGACATTTTCTACAGTCAGACTTACTGTTTGGGTATAATTAACAACCTCAGGTGTTTACTCTCCCCCTCTGTGGCTCTATTTAAAGTGTTTTTTATAAATTAGTTACAGCTCTAGAACAGTGATATAAAACTAAATCATACATGTCAGCAGCTGTTGTGATTTTTGTGTGTCTCTGCTGCCCTCTACTGGTGACGTCTCCGGTGTCGCTGGTAGTTTTATGAATAAGGTAGAAAAACTTCAAAAACCTGTTTGATGTAATGCTTTAGTAAAATGTACTCTGAGTAAAATAATATTTAGCAGCAAGACAAAATGAAAAATACAAACACTGATCACATTTAATTGTACTTTTGAATCATTTTAAACTTTAGAATTAGTGTTGTGGCTCTTTAAAAGCTCTTCAACCTTGATCATTGCTGTCATGAAAGGCAGGAGATCATGCAATGTGTGTTTGTCCGTTAGCAAAATATATTTCATAAACTAGTGGATGTATTTTAATGAAACTCTCACATCTGATGCTAATTTACAACTGATTAMCTTTTGGGGCTGACCCCATTGAAGATAGCCGCCACAGCTAATCCAGTGCTTCCTGACAAAGACTGATAAAACCAGACCGATTTCCTTGTTCGCTGGTTACAGTACAAGTTTCTACCCTTGGTAAATAAAAAAATATAAATAAATAATAAGCACTGTAATCACTAATTTCATGCCTTAAAGTAAGATTGAGGGTTTGTCTGGAGGAGTAGGCAGGATTTAAAGCCCCACACCGTGAGTGCACAGACTCTGGTGGCTTCAGTTCCCAACTACATTTGATCTCACAGTCTAATGTTGACGTTCTCAAATTTTTTCAGCTTTTCACCAGTAAAACTCAAGCCAGAGAGATCCGTAAGTATTCAAACATTACTAATCTGTTTAACAAGGAGCCTTATCAGCCAGTTTGTAATATTTTATTAGTTTATGATGAGTATTTAATCTGTTTCTAACACTGAAGGGTAAAAATGTTACAATCTTTTTCAAAGTTCAGTTTATTGATGTAGATCTACCTCTTAAATTCAGTTCATCTTGCATCTCCTAATTCTCAAAGGAGCAGCGCTGTGCTTTTATGAACGCTGTAAAAATATTAAAGATAAAATACTGTTGTTTTTTATGGCCGTAATTCTAACAAAAACGTGTCTATGTTTTATTTTAATTTTCTTCTAAAATCAGAATTCTCCGAGTCAGCTTTAGGTGCTTGTAGTTAATCATAAATATCTGCTAAATTTAACCAGGTGTTTCAGTGCCTTTAAATTACACAATAATTTTAATGGAGAAACATGTTCAGTTTGGTTTAAAAAAACAAAAACAAAACCAAAAAAAAAACAAGTACAAAAGTATGTATTTTTTTCTGTACAGAAAAAAATTCTATTTTTTACCACTTAAGCCCCACATACTGGAGAYAAAATAAATCTTTTTTATTCTACTTTTCTATTTTTTTAATCCTTCATGATATTTTAAAAGGTTTATATTATTTATAATGCAATAAATTACATTAGGACGTTATTTTGAGCACAAACTTCAAGACCYCCGTTCCCTCAAACTGGTGATCCTGACCCAAACTCTGCAAACTACTAAGCTAATAGATGTTGGTAAACGAGTGTAACAGTCACCTTTACATATACTGAGTTGCAGTTTGAGGTGGTAGTAGCTGAGAGTTGGTCCTGACACACGTTTTGAGCACAGATCACGCAACATCTTCGTTTAAAACCTTGGCATCCAAAAGTTGCTACTATTCATGTTCAGCTTCATGTTTTCAGTTTGCAATAAAAAACCTGAGCCATCTTCAGATATTTTAGATGATCAATTAAATCACATTTTAACATTTTTTTAACCATATAATTAGTTTTCTCAAAAAGCTTCAGGTGATTCAGATGACAGATGTTTGCCTCAAACCAAGCTTTCTAAAACTAATACTGTAAAACTTCTTATAAATAAACCCTCTGGTTTTATTCTTTTATACATTCATGTCTGTAATAACAGGCTGTCAGAGCAATTTGTTGGTTAATCCATGTGGAATAAAAATGTAGCAGTGGTTAGTTTCTTTTATGTTTTACTTTGTTTGAGGACCTGATTCAAATGACTGTAATCAAACGACTGCTATGTTCAGTGCAAGTTTTCTCTTCGCCGTATGAAAGGAATTTTTTATGGAAATATTCAGATATATTTTGTTCTTCTAAAGATATTTGGCCCTTAGAGCTTGGGGATATTAATTATTCCTAATATAAATGTGCATTTACTTCCTCGCTCTTCGGGGCTCTGAGTTAAAACCAATTGGTCTTAAGAAGAGCTGGAAAATCATTGTTATTTTAATACAGCGTTCTGGTGCCTTTGAGCTGTTTAGTTATTATTTTTAGTCATGTCGGATGTTTTAGTTGCCTTATTGATATTAATGTGGATTTTCAAGATGCAAGAAAAACTGAATTCAGCTTCCTGAGTTATTATAATGTTGGATCAGCTGACAGAAGACGTGAAACTTGTGATTTGTGTGTTCGTAATGTCACCCCGAG